TGAAACAGCAATCACTATCCTTGAAGTCACAACTTTAAACCAACAGATCGCAGATCCCTGGCAAAGTATTCCTGACCTTAATGTTCTTAGACACTATAATTGTAATGTAGCAGATTTGTGCTGTTGCTGTTATGCTAAATGCTTAAATGACTTGTGCATAAACCTGTGAAAATGTATTGGAGGTAGTAACAGTAATATCAATAATAATAAGAAGAAACATGTTTGTTTACATGGTAGTAACTTATTGTCTCACTTTTCCTGACCTCTCCAAAAGAATTGTCACTCTTTAATCAGCTGTATCTAATGCTGGCTTAGCTCCACAGAGACATGCAGGTAGAAACAGAGAGAACAGCACAGTAACATTATACTCCCTCTGTGGGTATGTGTCAGCTCTGTTTACTGACTCTTTGATTAGCAGTCTGGGGATTACACAAACTCCAGTGGCTGATAAACTGCTGTGTCATTTTCATCCTGTTTCAGAGCCCTAATAGATGCCAAGCAGATACAGAAAGCTGAACTTCGAGATAAACGCAGGAGGAAGCATCAAAGCGTGGAACTATGCTGTGACTGATCATCTCTGGTGAGTTTATTTCTTTTTAACCTAATCCTTCTATGATCAAAACCGTTTTTAAATGGTAAGTAACTTTTTATAAGGAAGTTAAAGATTATATTTGATGCAGAATCATGCAAAGAAAAAGTTAAAAAGATTCTTAAAAAGTATGTATTAAACCTGATAGGGATGGGGTCATGTTACCATAACCAAGGTTATATCATTAGTATGGCGCCTGTCTTCCCTCAGGAGTGCGACATGTTATCAACTGGGTAGCCTCCTGTTGTTGCTGCACCGGGAAGGATGGGCTGGTTTCAGACTGCCAGTGTAAAGGTGCTCTTCCACCAGTAAACCATTTCAGATTTAAAAGTACCTTTTGAGTTTTACAAATTAGCTGATGGTTTCTCTCTGTGCAGGGCAGAAAGTGTGGACGGTCAACTGTGATGGAAAACCCTCCCCTTCATAATGGAACCTACAGCATCTACTGCTGTTAGACCGCCATGTTTAGACATCTGCTTTCCCTAAACTGTAGGTGGTGCTGGAGGCCTACTTGTTACAATGACGACTTGTCTGAAAACTCCTTTTTCAGGAAGCCAGACAATGTCTGACAGCTGACAAGTGTACAGTAGCATCCTTTAAATCTAAGATAAAAATGTCACTTTATAAGCCCAAAAGTGCTGACCAAACAAAACTAATAAAAAATTATCTGGATCAATTTATTGTCACATTTTTTAAAGCCTGTATGAGCAGTTTATTCGTGGAAGAAGCAGGAAAAGAGTAACGCATCTTCTTAAAACTGTATAATTTATTTATTGACGTGGATTTCACTTGTCTGTATATCATAATCAGGATTCGGTTCAGCCCATGGAATTTCGGAGGGCTAAAAGTGGAGTTGATTGATTCCAGACTTCCCAAACTTTGTTTAAAATCAGTGACAGAAAGTTTTAAATCCACAGTAGAATGCTCTTCATCTGCAAAGAAACTATAGTTTGAAAGAGATAAATAAAATCAACAAAAAAGTGCAGCTTTTGCTCTCTTTATACCGGTATTCAGATGAGGACAAGATGGAAGAAGTTTAAGAGATTTTCAGCTGAAAAGCAAAAAATAAATAAAATAGACCTAAGTGGTTTGTAGAAAGGATTAATTTTTTTTTTAATCCCTGTCAGCATTGTTTTATTTCTTGTATTATTTTAAAGAACACAGTGACACAGAGCAATCAGCTCTTAAGCTGTCCTAGTATATAGGCCTACACAGGATTTATATTTTTATTCCCTCCTGAATTACTTTTATTTACTTTTTTTTTTGTTCGCTAATACTGATGTAAAAAATGGGACTAAACAGTAATAAGTTTATGAATACTTTTTCCTATAGGCTATTTTATAAAGAGTAATCGTTGCTTCATTGCAAAAAAAATAATAATAATAAAAAAAACATCAAGGAAGGGCTTTTCTTTTTTGTTGTGGCTGAAAAAGAGGTTAGAGCTGGATGTCTGGTTTGGTATTGTTTCCCATGAAGCCATACACTTAGATCTAATAAAATTGTGCTTAGGTTGATTTTTAGAGTATATGCTGTATAAAACTGGTAAGCGATTGGAAATGCAACTGGTTTGCCGTCACCAAAAATCTGTTAAATATTTCCAAAATAGTCTGTTGTATGGATTTGTTTTCTTTTTTTATGTACCAAGTCCCAAAGCCTTTCTCTTTTGTTGGTTTTATATTCAATACAGAAACCATCAAATTCATACAGTGATGTGAAGGTTAACAACATAATATCCTTTATTTAGAATAGAAGAATGCACAAAGGTATTTACATTCACATGATACAATTATACAATAACACATCTTCATTCTGTACAAGTTTAAAGTGACCTCTTTTTTTTTTTTTTACAGTGAGAGTACAGCTTGGACATTCTGGATTTTATATCTGCTGGTTTAAAAAAAAATGTCAGAAATTTATCCTGAGCTGCTGAAAGTTTAAGAGCATATTTCTGGCCACCTGGTTTTTCAAATTCAACACATTTGTTCTTTTCCTGTGACTCTAGACATATAAATCATCCTGGACAGAATTAGTTCCTTAGATTTAAGTCCCCATAACAACATGATGGTGAAATGCGCAGACATTAAAAATAGGGAAACCCCTACAAATCAGATGTTTCACAAACAAATCCACTCTGCTCTTCATAGAAACTAAACCGCCCCTCTTCCACCACAGCTCTAAGTCTAAAGTGCGTCGGTGTCCGATGCCACAGCATCACCTGGTGTTTGGTATCATAGCACCATGGTGGGGATGTGGTGCACCAGGGGCATCTGATGCTGAATAGTAGCCATCTGCGGTGCAGGAGGAGGGGACACCTGCGGGGGCGCGTCGGAAGCGTGCGCCACAGGTTTGTGCCGTGCGCTTTTCTGGTGCGCCCTCAGGCCCGCCAGCTGGGAATAAGCGCTCTGACACACGTGGCACTTGTAGGGTCGCTCCCCGGTGTGCAGGCGGACGTGGTTACGCAGCGTGGACGACTGGCTGAAGCGACGGTTGCAGAAACGACACACGAAGGGCTTGTCGAGCGTGTGGATGCGCATGTGGGAGCGCAGATTGCTTCGGGAGTTGAAGCCTCGATGGCAGATGACGCAGCGCATCCGGCCAGTGGAAGTGGTGGAGGAGGAAGGAGGAGAACACGAAGAGGGACCCTCACTGGAATGGGCGTCATCTAGGGGGAGAAAAATTAAAGGATGATGGGTTATGAATTTAAATGTGTTTGTGAAAGAGTCCTTACTGCGGGGGGAAACTCACCATTTCTGCTTTTCTTCTGATGTTCTTCGTCTGTTCCAGGAACTCCGGGTATTCCCAGGAATGTGTTGTGCGTGTTTCCATACCAGACAAGGAGCTCCTGGTCGGGTGGGATGGTCTGAGTGGGGATTAAAAAATAATATCAAGTTTGAAAAATGCAATTATCTCTATAAGGAAAATTTCTCACAGGTGAAAAGTTAGGCCCATTAAGTTATGACCAAAACTCCATCTCAAATTAAACCCCAGTACGGTCTCAGAGATTCTTTGAATAGCTGCCCCACATAAAAAAAAAGAAGAAAGAAAATAGAAGTGGCCTAAATCTAATTGATTCTGCACAATTTCAAAGGTATATTATTGGCACTGATTGGCCCTAGGTGGAGTGGGGTCTCCCCTCTCTATGGTTTGGAACTGTTGTAAACCATCAAACGTGTTTTGAATTTTCAAATTCATGCCATCTGTTTTAAGGAGTCTTCTGAAATGCAAACAGGTCATGCCTAAAGGGCAGAGGCTCACCTCCACTGCTTTGTAGAAGATGCTGCTGCCGATCTGCACCACCTCCAGGTTCTGCTCCTGCTCGTTTCGAGCGCACTTTATGTATGTCATCCAGCTGCGGTGGTCCTCCTGGCTGGCATCAATGAAGTACCGCACTGTGCCATCCTCATTGAAAACCTGAACGAAAGCAATAAGCAGGATGTTACCAACAGAAGATTTAAAGAAATATATATATATATAATTATTATTATTATTTTTTGCATCTCAATGCTTGTGAAGATTTTGCATGGTGATGATGCCTGTACTCCAGGATACACATTATGTGCGGTAATATTTCAAAATGAACTACATAATTATGATCAAAATAGAGTTTATTTAACTTGATATAGATAAAGAGTGCAAAAACAGATATATTATTTTAGTTGTTTTGGGATGGTTTGTGTATTTAAGTTAAATATGTGCTTAATTAGAGCTATTGAGTGCATTGATTAAATTGTGCAAAGAATATTTAACTGAATATTTATATTTAGCACGCACAATAGTCCTATTGAAATAAATAGAAATTTAGAATTTGTTGTCCCCAGTATGGTTTTTTTTGCTTGCAGCGCCCCTGCCTCAAAATGTGCGCTCACCTCCCACATCAGGTTGTTGTTTTTGAACAGGTCCACGTGTTCAGGAGACAGGAGCCTCCCAGTAAAGGGACCCATCTCTGTTCCAGCTTTGATCCAGGTTTTAGAGAATATCCCCAGGCCTTCTCCAGGGATGGAGCTCTGGGCAATGATCACCTCACTGGGCAGCACCAGGCTGGAGAGCTTCTGCACCTCTGGAAAATATAAGCACAAATAAGTGTAAAATATCTATAAAAAAAAAAAAAGAAAATCCTTTAAAAGCTGCAAAATAAGTAGATCTTATTTCAGTCACTTATTATTATAACCACACCTTATCTTGCGTTCAATTCGATTATCTGGATGAATTGATTTTTTTTTCTTTTTTTGTGCAAAGCACCCCTCAGTCCTTTTATAGCGAGGGAGAAGAGGAAAAAAAACCCCTGATTCTTTAATGTCAAATCCAAAGTTTTTCTTTCTTCCTCTAAGTTTCACATTGAAAAAAGTGAGTAGGGGTTAAACGGTCCTCTATTGCTTAGGGTCCAACAATTCGCCATGCTTTAGATGTGATATTCATTAAAGTTTACTGGAAAAGGAACGACTAATTCCAAATTCATTATCCTTTTAAGGACTTTGTCGCAATAAATTTGCGCTGAATGAGACTGAGGCTTGTTTAAAAGGACTCAGGAATTTCTGCAACAAAAAAATGGAAAGGCGATTAGATGGTTGACATGCAATGAATAGCATTAGATTTAGCCTTCACGGCGCATTATGTGAGGAACAGCAAATCTTTTAAAAGGAAGAGAAAGAAAAAAAGAGCCTCCAGAGTCTCTCATAGCTGCCAAGGGAGGAAAAGAGACTGTCCGGAGATTGATGAATGCATTGATAAAAAAAAAAAAGTCAAAGAAAGGAAACCTTTCTCTCTTCGTGAGGTTTAAGTGGGAAACTTTCCCAGGTCAAGCACAAAGTTAACCAAATGAATTTAATGCTCTGCGCCAGTTACGCGCCTCCAAACGGCGGGGTCTCTGCAAGGGTTAATGCGGTTAATGGATCGAAATAAAAGCGGCAGAAAGAGAGGGAAAAGTGCAAGCGGGGATGAAATGCTGATTAAGGTCAGTGAAAGTTCTTCTAGCATTTTAAACATATGCAGGGATTGTGTAGGAATAAATGCATAAACATACTTGCTGCAGCTGATTTCAAGTCATGTGCACTTTTACGCACACAGTCCCCCTCTTTTTTTTTAATCATAAATCTTTTGGTTTAAAGGTGTAGTAAAATAAGGCATCGAAAGTTCCCAAAGTGACCCCCAGCAGTTCAGCCTCACCTCCAGCGAAGGACTGGGCCAGAACCTCAGCCGTGAAGGCGGTCTTCGGGCTGCTGCTGCTCTGCCGCTCCTCCGCCAGGTGTTCGCCCAGAACATTTCTCCACCTGCCGTACAGGAAGCTGTGCAGGATGTCCGAGGTGATCACATCAGACAGCGAGCGCCCGGAGCACTTAAATCCGGGCTTCATAGCCAGAGCGTCGGCGGGCAGCACAGAGCCCATGGTGCATGAGAGAGAGATGCGGGGAATGAACGGGGCTGGACGCAGCTGTGGGCGCAAAGACTGAGAGTCCGTCCTCCTTAGCTCCACACTGCGCGTAAAGAAACTGTCCCTGCCTGGCTGTGAGGGGTCTCTTTATATAAGTGGCTGGTGCGACCCGGGTCTAATTAGTTATTAATGACACACCCCTCACAGTGTGGACCTGCTCACTGCAGCCAGGCGCACCAACAGGATGCTCCACACTAACGCGTTATTACAGGGAACTGAGGGAAATCACAGATTTTCAATTTTTTGATAAAAAAACTGATTTTATTTTTCATTATGATAAAAACACAATAGCTTTTTGGAAATTGATATATTGCATCAGTTTAACTGAGAATTTTTTTTCATGGTTAATGCCCTTTTCATATTTAAATGCTTTGCTATAATTAAGATTAAAAAAAGAAAAAAAATTTTTTCCTTAGTTTTATAATCTAAACGGAGAAAGTATTATGTGCCCCTTTTCCCTAATGTAGACCGGCTTAAATAAACTTTAAATGTAGTATCTAGTAATATTTGAGCTTATTGTCCTCTTTCATAAATTAGTTTTTTCTGTGAATTATTCAATAAAGGCTACAAAACTTTATTCATTGCATTACTTTGTTTTTAAGTGCAAAATAAATGCACAAAAAGTTTAAAAATGCTAATTTTTGGTCACAAAGGGGGCTATTTCAAGTTCAAACATGCTAAAGAAAAAAAAAAAAACATAAGTTATTCAGAGATGTAGTTATAAAATATGCTTTTTTTCCCCGAAAATGCATATATTTCTTGGATGCCAGCAGAAAACGCGTTGTCATGCAGCAAATAAGCATTTTTATTAATATTTTTTATTATTATTAGAAGTGGGTCAGCGAGTCTGGGAGATGCTTGTCCATTTTCTTCTCA